GGAACAGCTGGTAGTTTCGAACTGCTGACCTTGAGGTTGGTAGCTCAACTCATAACCATTATACTACCAGAGCTCCTTATAAAAAGAACTGTTGTTGTTGTTAAGTGCCATTGAGTCAGTTCCTACCCATAGCGACCCTGTTTAGGGTTTCTAAGGAGCCACTGGTGAGCTTGAACCATGGACCTTGCAGTTCAAATGGCTTTGCAGTCTGACACATTAACCCACAGTGCCACACCAGGACTCCTATAAAAGGACTAGTACCTTTAAAAAGTCCTTAGTCATAAAAGGGCTCCGTGCCTCTACTTTTCTTGGAATCTACGTCTGTATTGATTGAAAAAAAGGAAGACATAATTACAATGGCATTCGCCTTCACTTACAGTGCATTTTTTTTTAATTGATGCTTGACAGTTTTGAAATCAGGCTCTGTTGGTCCCCAGAGGATACTACTATTTATGTCACCAGTGTATCCTCTCGCTAACCTTTTACAGTTTACATATATCTGAGGCATTTCCAAGTGTTATTCCTCCAGGAGGCTCATAAACATACTCCACTTCCTGTCTGTGCAATTGAATCAGTTAAACCATAGAAACATATATTTCAAATAATGTTGTTGTTAAGTGGCATTGAATTGGTTCCATCTCATAGCTTCCCTGTGTAGGGTTTCCGAGGAGCAGCTGGGTAGGTTTGAACTGCTGACCTTGTGGTTCTCAGCTCAGTGCTGATCCTACAGCGCTACATTGAGAATCCAATTCAAATATAGAAATTAGGATTATAAAAGATAAGAGTATGATTATGTATCTGTTAAAAATGGATATTGAGTATAAAGGCAAAAATAATGAAAATATATCTCACTGTTCAAAATCCTGATGAGATTTTTAAATTCACAGGATTTGCAATGTCTATTTGTTGTAATCAATTCTAGAAATTTCAAAAAGCCAGAGATTTCTGTGTACTCAAGTACATATATGATACTTGCTGTTTTTCCACTCTAAAGTTAACGATCACAGACCTTGCAATATGGGCTGTCCTCAAGCTCATCCTATTAGAAGCTTGGCTTAAATGAGGGCTATTTTTTCCACTTAAGACCCCAAGCCCCCCAGATCAGCCCTCAGCTTGTACTCCTCACATATGTCATTGTAAGATCTTAGAGGACCTTTTTGTGTGTGCGTCAGGTCTTCTAACATTATATCAGATAGATTTTATTCTTTAAAGCATTCCCTCTTCATGTTTGATATGGGGCTTTAGCGTGGAATAGCATGTTTGAAAGATTGATCGTCAACTCTAGCTTTAATATTCTGCATCTCTACCTTAAAAATACAAGTGTTTGTTTGACAAAAAGAAATACCAACAAAAAAATAGTTCCCAGGCTTGAACTTTAATATTTGTGCACTTCTACTATGTTGTGGTGGAGGGTCAGAGAAAAAGAGGAAGACACCCCAACGAGATGGATTGGCCAGGTGGCAGCATCATTGGACTCAAGTGTGGCAACAATAGTGAGGTTGGCCCAGGATTGGGCAGTGTTTCATTCTGCTGTGCATAGGGTTGCTGTGAGTCAGTACCAACTCAATGGCACCTAACAACAACAACAACTGTATTGTGGAATTATTATAGTTTCTTTTGGAGACATTGTATATGTACATATGTACATGTGTTTTGTCCCATTTTGATTCAACTGTTAAATACCTACTCTTTTCATTATCATGTGGAAATTCAGCTCAGAATATATTTCATTCTTAAAGTTAGACTGGCTTTTTTATAACATATATGTAATGATGAACCATTTGCAGTATTCTGATTTTGGAAAAGATTTAGGGGAAAAAAGGGAAATCATATTGGAGTCCTAGTGTGGTGCTGTAGGGTAAGTACTAGACTGCCAATCACAAGGTCAGCGGTTCAAACCCTTGGAAACCCTATGCAAGGTCGCTGTGAGTCGGAACAGACTTGATGGCACTTAACATATTGGAGTCAGTAAAATTAAATATCACTAAGAACATAGTTAAGGAGCTCTGGTAGCATAGTGGTTACACATCATGCTGTGAACCTCAAGGTCAGCAGTTCAAAACTATCAGATCTTCCGCGGAAGAAAGCTGAGGCTTTCTGCTCCCGTAAAGCTTTACAGCCTCAGAAACCCTGTACAGGGTCACCATGAGTCAGAACCAACTCCACGGCACATAACCAACCAACCAACCAAGAACATAGTTGCCAACAAAACATTTTGTTCTACCGCTCTCCGTCTCCTTAATTTTGGAGTCTCACTTCCAAGATGAAAAACAACATCACAAGTTTACCTACGAAGGTACAAACTAAAATTCCTAAGTCCTCTCTATGATAGAGCCAAATACTGCCTGTGTTCCTTTTGGCTCATGTTAGAGAGAGTGACCTTATTTACCTCAGAATTAACAGTCATTCTTGAATGTGTTGATGATTTAATGCTGTTTTGCTTTTTAATTTTCGACGTTTACTAAAACAGAAGGAAAAAAAATTGCTATCCAGCAGAATGGTTGGGGAGAGCAGTAACTTCTAATTCAAACGCTACACCCTATTTCATTTGGTGAACTAAAATACATATAGATACTACTATATCTCTGTGTTTCAGAAATATCTCAACTGATTGAAGTTAACAGTATGCATACATTTATGTTTTTAATGGGGATCGCATTCAAAATGTGCTCTTGGCCTCTCTTCAGATTATTTAATTGATTGCCCAGTATTAGGCAATTAATTGCCTGTAGGAATAGGAATGTTTCTCTCCTTCAGGTGTGTGCCACTAGTCCTGTTTTTTTAATTCTGATTTTTTTTTGTATGTGTACTTGAATTACACATGCTGGAATTTTCAAGATTTTTTGTTGTTGTTTTGTAACGCATCTCTGTTTGCTCAAGAAAATCTTTTCCTAGAAATATATTCATGGCCTTCTTTATAGATATCATAGGAAAAGCATCTAAGGTTAAATGGGGAGAATTTCATTCATCCTGACTTATTAAAGACCTCTGCTGCCTCTGAAGCCAGCATGAGACTATTTACATTAGTTCTCAGGTTTGCTTCCTTGAAAGTAAACATGATTTTTTGTCTTCGTTCAACTGAGTGTTTAGCTCAGTCTGGATTTGATACTTGAAGTTAAACTTGAAGAGATCTTGTTGCCTAAAGGATTAAAATTCGTATGTGACTTTTTCCTCCATCCTTTCAAGAAGTTTGTGAAAAATTCCGTTATCTTTTAATACCATTTTTCCAGGAACTTTTTGAAGCCCCTTAGCAATTGTTTTGGTCTGTGTACCATGAGGGAGATTAATTTGTTTCTGTTGGTTTAAGAAATAAAGAAAACTCTCCCTTCAAAATAAACATTTCCTTGTGTCAAAACTCGTGGATTCTCTTTGGTTTTCATTGCTCCAAATAATCTTCTATGGTTTATATTTTCACACTTAAATCTTGTAGGTAGATTGGATTTTTTTATGTCTGAACTTCAGCAATTTTTGGCTAGTTTTCTTCATTAGCATTTGTGGTTTGGGATGAACACTAACATGTGGAATCACTCTGCTTGATCTGCTAGATCATGTGTCTAAACCACCCAAATTAGGTTTGTAGTGGCCTTCTTCTTCCCAGATTTCTTGCCAGACTGCACTGCACTTCATTTTAAACCTGTTTCTGTTCCAGACCACAGTGGTTAAGCTTGAGTTCTGCTAACTTCAAAAACACATGTTCAAATCCATGGTTAATTCAGAACACATTAATATCATGTCAAGAAGTAATATAATGCTTTCCCTCCTCCCCTACTCTTGGCCTTGAGGTTTACCTAACTAATAGTTTGCTGTGTAGTTTGGCTTGATTCATGCAACTAGACTTGAGTTCTGCACCTGTTTTCCAGGCCTACGTCCTACATCATCTTCTCACTGTCCACTGCATTCTTTGCATGGTTGTCTAAAGGGACCATCCTAAAGCTGAAGATCATAAAAGCACGTTTTACTCCATTTAGAAATGAGCTATCCATAAATATTTAGATGTACATTTTGGGGGGGAAATGTAAATTGGACATTTCTTAGGCACAACAATCTGAATATTTATGATACACTATTTTTCATTAAAATTAATGTGTTCTTCTTTTCAAACAGCTATTGTCTTTTTCTCCTACATAGAGAGATGGGAAACCAACAGGAAAATATTAGAAATTTCTCTTCCTGAAAAGTTGTTTGATAACATGAGCATGGGGTGTACATGTAAAACTGCTGCTTTATTTTGAGCAGATTAAAGAATGTGCTGATGAACCAGTTGGAAAAGGTTACTTGGTTTCCTGCTTGGTGGATCACAGAGGCAACATCACCGAGTATCAGTGTCACCAGTACATCACCAAGATGACGGCCATCATTTTCAGTGATTACCGTCTAATCTGTGGCTTCATGGATGACTGCAAAAATGACATCAACATCCTGAAATGTGGCAGCATTCGGCTTGGAGAAAAGGTATCTAGAGGTGTTATCAGCATGATGAATAACATGCTGAAGGAAAACACAGGGATGGAGGTAACCTTAAAGTTGAAATTAAAGAAATTATTACCTGATAGTCCCAAGATCTCAGGCTAGTTGACCTTTGGATGCATTTCATCCATTTATCTGTAACAGTATCAGTACTGTCATCAGACCCTTCGTATTAGGGTTCTTGTTGTTCATACTCGGAAGAATTTCAAGTGAGAGCATTAGCAGTTGAACAGAGCTCTATTTTCTCTTGATCAAAAGCGAAGATGGAGATACGTGGAGACCAGATTCACACCAGGTCTGGCTCTCTACTTGCTAAAAGCAGGGCAGGGCAGTTTAATCTTTCTATTTCTGCTAATATTGGGTTAGGTTTCTTAAGAAAAAGGGAGGATTTCCAAAAAGTAGGAGAGGTGAAACCCGAGCATGCACATGGTGTAGGTGGAGAGTAAATTTGCGTAGCTTTTTTTCATGATGGAACCGGCAGTAAAGAGTGTCTGGGATTCTTAGTGTCACTTATGGGATGGCCTGGGGATGAGTCAGAGTGCACCATATCCTCATTGTTATGTGTCTTTGGCCTTCAGCTATGAGGGTTTGATTTACTGTAAAGTAGGTCTTGGTGCCAGATGATCGGTTATCTTTGTTCAACACAGGATAAGATGAGTACTGTAATTTTCTTTTCCCAAGCCATTAAGCAGAACAGCAGGCCTTGTGATTATCAATAAGTATTTATGTTTTTTTTCTTAGAGACTCCAGGCATCCTTATTGACTCAGTTGAGTTTGTTACCAAAACTCAAGGTGCCCTTAAGTCTGGTTAGGAATTCTTCAACTTAGTTAACGTAGCTGGCATCACAGCTGTGTGGGACAGAGAGAAATTACTATCTGCAAAGAGTAATGTTATCTTCAAAATATTTGACCTGTTGATGATTACCTATAATGTTCCCCTGACAAAGTATTTCATAGTCTTGTGGGACAAGTACTTAGATTAGGAGAGGGCTAAGTTCTTGAACCTTTCTCTGTTTATGCCTTACTGTTGTTGTTGTGTGCTGTTGAGTCAGTTCCAACTTCATGGCTGTCCTGTATGACAGACTAGAATTGCTCCATGGGACCTCCTAGGCTGTCATCTTTATGGGAAAGAGCCCTGGAGTTGCACTGTAGGATAAGTACCAGACTGCTGTAAGATCAGCAGTTCAAACTCACCAGCCACTATAAGGGAGAAAGATGAGGCTTTATACTACTGTAAAGATTTACAGCCTTGAAAACATTATGCAGGGTCGCTACACTCAGAATCAACTCAATGGCAGTGGGTTAACCTCTGTGGGAGCAGATTCCCACGTCTTTTCTACTGTGGAACAGCTGTTGGATTTAAACCACAAATATTTCAGTTTGCAGTCAGGCGCTTAATGATTGTGGCACCAAGACTCTACTTTACTCCCCCCCTCAAACTTTACTTTTTACCATAATAAAACTACTTTTATCTGCATCTATAAAAGGAAGGTATTTAAAATGTAGAAAATTTTAAGATAATGTGAAGGCGCTTTCAGCTTTCTAGAAGAACAAAGCTCTATAAACATGATGTATAATTATCTTTACTCAAAAGAACTGGTTTTAGTAAAGGCAGAAAAGGAAATAACTACCTCACTAGTTTCTTCCTCCTTAGTTATAGCGGATCTTATTTTTTTACTTACTAGTCTGGTGTCCAGAAGGTCACCACAATTTGGCCTGCTTTATTCCAAATTTGTTTGCTCAGCAAAAGTAAAAGAAATTCCCCCAAAATAATGGATGCTAGTGGGAGAAGCAGTCCAAGACTTGTGGCGTCAGTGATTAAATACTGCTGCTCATTAATCCACTGTTTCAGAAATGTGTCATAAATTAAAACCTCTTGGTTGTTCTGTCCCCTGTTTGTTCATTGTGACCTAGTTTGCAGGCCTCCATCACTGATTAAGGGGGCATGGGTTCAGATAAAGAGTTTAATCCTGGGTATTGCCTGTCTCTCACCAAGGCCCTGGTTCTCTCTCCTTCATGCCAGCCAGCACAAGGCTCCATCCCATTTCACAGGCCACCTCTGAATCTGTCTTGAAAGCTCTGAGAGTTTGTCATAAAGTTTTCAGGCAGCTAAAGAAAGGCCAATTTTAATACAAAAGACAGATTATTTTCTTCTTGGCTAACTCTGAGGTGGCATGAATGTATGTAATACCTTGATAATTTAGGACATTTCTGACTTTTTTAAAGGTTTTGGAAATTACATCCAATTCCAATCCTTATTCCTTTAAAAACCTCCACACTAGTGTGCTAGACACAGTCTTTAATGATTAATGGTGATACTTTTTCACATTTGTGACCAGTGGTCCACGGTGTAATCATTACAGCTATAATTTATCTCTCTTGCTTGCTTTCATTCATTTTTGGAAGTTAGCTGTATAGTCTTTATTGACAAGTAGTTACATACATTTCAGCTGTCCAACTCAAATGGACTAAACTATAAAAAGCTCAGAACTTCTAGGGACCAAAAAGAATTCCTAAAATACCTTTATTTGAAGAAACTATGAATAGAAACATCTAATGGAAAGTGATGTTATGACCTAACATCAATGTGTAATGCCACGATTGCTATCATTAAATTATATCTTAGGGCCTTAGAGAGTGCTCAGATTATGATACTGCTGCCTTAAATCTAAGAAGCAAATGGAATCATAAAGAAATACAATAGTCCTAAATGTTTAATCTTATTAGTGGCATGTTTACAATTATGTGTCCTAAATATGCATGGAAACACTTAGTTGACTTATTATATGGAATCTTGTTTTGTTTTAATGTAATGCCAGGTTTCAAGTCTAAATTGAAACAAAGATTTGATTATCTTGCTGTTATTTTCAATCTCTTCTGATTCTTTAGAACCGTGATTCTCCAGGTATGAGCTACAGGCCTTCAGATCCTCTGATCAGAAAATCAAGTCCCTTTGGTTTGATTCTTATAGATACTGATTTTCATATATGATTATGAGCACATTACTATATAAGTTATTGTGTTGTTACTGTCGTTATATGCCGTGGAGTCAGTTCCGACTCATAGCAACCCTGTACAGGGTTTCCAAGGCTATAAATCTTTACAGGAGCAGAAAGCCTCATCTTTCTCCCACGGAACAGCCGGTAGTTTCGAACTGCTGACCCTGAGGTTCGCAGCCCATTTGTAACCACTATGCTGCCAGAGCTCCTTATAAGTTACCCTATAATTTATTATAGGATACTAAAATTTAGTATAGGACATTGCTTTATAGTCTAAAATCATGCTTATACTAATCTCATGTGTAATGTAAACAGTAAATGACTAATACATTTTTTAGAAACCTATAGGAGCTCTGGTAGTGTAGTGGTTACAAATCAGGCTGCAAACCTTAAGGTCAGCGATTCGAAACTACCAGCCGCTCCGTGGGAGAAAGATGAGGCTTTCTACTCCCATAAAGCTTTACATCCTCGGAAACCCTGTACAGGGTCGCTATGGGTCGGAACCGACTCGACGGCACTTAACAACAACAATATTATCATAGATTTGTCTTTCCTTTGGAAGGTGGAAATGGATTGGTCTTGCCTAAGTGGGCCATAGTCAGGAAAACATACAGGTCATTCATAAATTAGGTAGAAATTTCTTACTCTGAATTTCTGGAGTTTCTATTCACTTTCCTCTTTCCTTACTGTTTATTATCTATTCAGAATTACTCTCCAGAACAACTCTTTGGTCATTCCAAGTTTTTATAAGCATTAGATAGAATTTTAAGTGAGTGAGATTAGTGAATAAGAAGGTCTCAGAATTTGCTAGTATCTTCTTGTTCTTAGACTTTTTTGAGTCATTTAAATTTTCCATATACTTCTAAACTGCTGCTGCTAATGTACTATTATACAAATACAAATTATGATTTCTTATATCCCCTCTTACTTTCATGAAAAGTCACATGCTTTATACAGACTTTCCTGCACCTTGCCTTCTTCACTTAACTGCGGTGGAGGTGCTTTCACATCAATAGATAGAAAGCTGCTCTATTTCTTTGTTTCTTCCTTCTGTTCATGGTACTCTATTGTATATATGAACCATAGTAACACAATTTTAAATGATGAGCATACATGATTTAGGCAAATAGGCATTCTTTCTCATATTGTACTGCAGCTTTACCTGTGATGTCCTTGCCTTGGTGCAAGTCCATGTTTGGAGTCTGATTTTCTTGAGACCCACCTAGTTCCTTTGTATATAGAAGGCTTCCTTCATAGCATCCAGGGAGCTGCTTAGAAAGTACTTAGAAAGAACCTCCCAAGTTGCTGAAACTTATTTTCTGTGTATGGAATATTAGAACGCTTGAGTTTCTCATATTTTAGATGAATAAATGCTGACTGCTGCTATGGAGATGATGCAATACACAATTGAAGATAATTGGATAGTTTTAGGAAAACCCCAAAAGTAGGTTTTTTGAATGGTGGTTGTTGTTGTTAAATCCTTTAAGATAAATGGAAATTATCATAGTGAGTGTTACACTACAGAATGAATATGCTGAGGTGTTTGTAAACAGTACAGAGCAGAAAAATGACAAAGGGGGTTTCTATATTATCGATTCTCAGTACATTTTCTGGTTTGATTGTTTATTTAACTTGACTGTTATTTGGTAAATACCTACCCTTAGAGATAAATGAACAGAGATTTCTGCAATGGTGTTTCAATATTGACATGAACTATTATCAGAACATAGGGCTGATTACATTTTGTAAAATTTTTCTGACAATTTAAACTTTAAATATTCACATTCTTATTTCTAGTATTAACTGTAATTAATTTCCCTAGGGTCCCTCTTTATACACTTGCTATATGCAAAGGACAGATTATTGAGAACACTTTCTTTAACTTCCACAGGTGATTGCCTCTCACTTGTACTGTCAATAGAATAGCAATAAGCTAACTGTATATGTTGGGTGGGTTTTTTTCCTTTAATATAATTTTTTAAGCCAAATAATGTTTGTTAGAAGATATTTGTCGTGTGTCTTAAAATAGCAGACATCTTTATTATTTTAGGATGCACACTCACAAGGTGAGGTGGTATCATGCTTGGAGAAAGGTCTGGTGAAAGAAGCAGAAGAAAAAGATCCCAAGACTCAAGTCTCTGAAGTCTGCAAGAAAGCCATTCTTCGAGTGGCTGAGCTGTCTTCAGATGACTTTCATTTGGACCGGCATTTATATTTTGCTTGTCGAGATGATCGGGAACGTTTTTGTGAAAATGTGAGTCAGCTCAGTTCCCCGCTTTAAAAACATATTTCTTGCACCGTGTTCCAAAATAAAAGAAGCTACCACAAACCCTAACAACATAGAAAGGTCTCTAAATGGACAGTGAAATTGGTCCTGGAGTAAGAGAAAATAAAATTAGATGGTCAGCCTCGATGATGTTAACTTCTCATCACCAGTTGACTTCAGTAGTCTTAACACAGTATCTTTTTGGCTCTCATCGCGTTTCCTAATTTCAATTCCGGAAATTATCTTTATCTATACTCGGATTTTGCCATGGAATCTTACTTGCATCTATTTCTTGTGTTAAACTTATTGTAATATTTATATATGTACATACACAGACATGTATGTAGAGAGAGACAAATATACACATTTTGTTAAATACTGTCAGTTCTGAGTCATAGTGACCCTGTATAGGGTTTCTGACGAGCAGCTAGTGGGTTTGAACCCCAGCCTTGCAGTTCAAACTGACCTTGTGGTCCAGCGCTAATCCTACAGCGCCACACATGTATATATATGTGTGTGTGTGTATTTTTTGGCTTTTAAAATGAAATCCTTGATTACAGTCTTCAGATTCTATAGGACTGCTTTCTAACACTTTAAATAGAATAGTTTCTATCCTTAAACCTTAAAACTAAGGGCTGAGTTTCTTGTATAAACTTTCACTCTGCCCTCTGTTTTGAATTAGCTGCTATAACCATCAGAGCCACTGATTATATTACAAGGGTTTTATTGACTCTAGCATAAAATTGTAAGAAAGGAGATTCATTCTGATGCTTTTTTCAGCTTCCTCAGTAACAGTATACCTGAGAACAAATAGACAGATTATGGGGAATTTTTCCCCCCCTTTTGCTGCAACAATCACTTGTCTTACAAAAGCTGCTGACATTTTTTAAGTGGCCAAGTCATTTATCCAAAGGTTCGACTGTATGAAATTGTGCATAGTGCCCAGCATAACTGCTTTGATAATAACAATAATATTGATGTCTTCTAGACACAAGCTGGTGAAGGCAGAGTGTATAAGTGCCTCTTTAACCACAAATTTGAAGAATCTATGAGTGAAAAGGTAAGTCTTGCTTTGAAACAAACCAGTATTTTATTCATTCCTAAAAAAGCTTTTGCAGAACCTCTCAAAAAATATTTTTATATGCTCATATCTGTATATAAATGATTGATGTCCTTACCCTTTTCAGAGGTGATATACTTGGATTTTAATAGCAAGCTAAAGCGTATTTGGCTTACACCAAGAAAATGAAGCCCTGATTTTGATACCAAGATATCAGGCAGCTTATTTTTAATGTAAAATTGGAGCCTTTTATGTAAGATTCGCACTGAGGCAAGCTCTCCATACTCAGGAAGGTTAGGGTAACCAGACTAATGTGTTTCATAGATAACTAGCCATTTACCTTCAATAGCCATCTCATTGTTAGTCCTCCGTCCCTAACAAATAATAGTAATATTAATAATCATAATGCTGTTGAATAATAACATTGAAAAGGAATAAAATGGAGCTTCCAAACTGTTGGGGTTGCTATCATTTGCTCCTACCTCATGCCACGCAAGTTTAACACACTTGTGCTAAATTTTAGCCAACTTCAAGATGGGCATTTTGATAAAAGTCTCACTTTTGGTAATCTGCAGCATGCTTGGCTGTAAGTCTCTGCGCTTGTCTTAAAGACGTGTGTGAGCAGCTGAGCCATGTGAACAGCCTTGCAACTCTCTTGCTGCATTCTTCCTCAGTGTCGAGAAGCACTCACAACCCGCCAAAAGCTGATTGCCCAGGACTATAAAGTCAGTTATTCTTTGGCCAAATCCTGTAAGAGTGACTTGAAGAAATACCGGTGCAATGTGGAAAACCTGCCTCGATCCCGGGAAGCCAGGCTCTCCTACCTTCTCATGTGTCTGGAGTCAGCTGTACACAGAGGTAAGAGTTCATTCCTATTCATTCTTTTGACTCCTTTTTGGATTCACACCTATAAATGACAAATTAATTTTTTTCTGCATTGACTCTTTTGAGTGCAACTGTGCCTTGTGACCAAGGAGCCTTTCTTTGTAAACAACCCTAGGAACTGAAGACTTGGTATCCATAAGTGTTGTTGAAGCTCAACAAGCCCCAGCATTTTTCTTTACTTTCTAACATTAAAAAAAATAATAATTTTATAAGTATATTGTTACAAGAGAAAGATGAGACTTTCTGCTCCCACAAAGATGTATAACCTTGGAAACTCTGTACATGGTTGCTATGTGTTGGAACCACCTCAATGTCACTTAACAACTGCAATATTGCGGTTAAGTGCTATGGAATTGGTTCCAAAGCATAGAGACCCTGTATAGTGTTTCTGAGGAGCGGAGGGTGGGTTTGAACTGCTAATGTTCCATTTAGCAGTCCAGTACTTAACCTACATCACCATATTAGATTCCAGGTAAGTATATTACTCAAATTCAAATACTTTAATCTTTTAAATGTATGTATTCAACATTTTTTTGAAGAAAGAATTGCTACCACAGAGTCAGAGCCATGGTCTGTTTAGTCCAAGAGTCCATCTCTCACAGGAACCATAGTAGAAAGTCAGGGTTGTCTTTCTTAGTATCACATGCAGGCTGTGAAGATGAACTTTCTGGCTCTTATTGCATAAATGGTACTCAGACAATTGGCTAGTGATTAAAAAGTTAAATGGAAAAAAAAGACAACCTAAAACCTAGAAATTTTTAGTGGTTTTTGTTTTCTTTTGTTTCTTGGTGTTTCTTTTGTTTTTGTTTTAAAACCCTCCCGCATCTGGATAGAGAAAGATTCCTAAATTTAAAAAGGGATGGAACAGCAACCAGATACCTTGCATACATAGTCTTAGACTAAATACCACAAAAAGGGCATTTTTTTTAAGGCAGTTTGACATTTTTATTATGGTCTGGACATTCGATGAAACTTTCTTGGAATGGAAAACGTAGGAGTGTGGATTGGTGAAAGCCTATTCTAAAGCAGTATGCATATTTTAGCATCATTTTAGTATTAAACCATATAGCGTGTTTATGTCCTTAATCTGCAAGGTAACAAAAATATACAAAGACTTAAAGGATATGAGCTGCTAATTCTGAAAAAATGTAGATTGCTAATATTAAAAGATGGACTGTACCAATTACTGATTAACAGGCTATGAAGGAACTAAAATTACCATACACTGATGAAGGGATTTAAAATGGTATAGCCTATTTGGAAAACAACTTGCCAGATTCTTAGGAAATTAAGTATAATATATCATATAAACTAGTCATACAATCCTAGATATTTACCCAAGAGAAATGACTATACTGTATGATTCCATTGATACTTCTTTTTTTAAAAAATAAATAATTTGTTTTGAAAAAAGGCAAACTGGTAAGTGACTGTTGTCGTGAGAAGCAGATGAGATAAACCTATGTATCAAAAGTTACTGAATTATGTAAATATGGGCAATTTATTATATGTTGATTTTTACCTTAGTAAAGTTGGTTTTGGGAATCTCTATTTTTTACTAGCAGGCAAGAAAAGGATGTGTTTGGGGGGATGGTCTGGGGATGATGGTGAATATTTGAGATACTGTCTTTTGTACAAGCTTTAACTGTGTGGACCAGCAAGGACTGTTCTGTGATTTTCATTTTTATCCCAATATTTACCTTACTGATAAAATTTCCATTGATGAAGCATTTGCATTATTAGTTCAGTAGTATAAAAGCTCTGTAATGCATTGAAAAGGCATATGATTGTTACATATAGATTTACCACAATAAAAATTAAAAAGGGAGAAAAAAAAAATCTCTATTTTGCAGACATTGACAGGATAAACCATAGTCTCTAACATAAGTCTATGTTTTGCATCTGCAGTTTTTGGCAAGTTATGTATTTCCGTCTAGAGAAGAGCGGGACTGTTAAATTCTACTCTAGGCAGAAACGTGTGCCTTTTTTTTTTTTTTAAACTGGTAAAATAGAAAACATTTGCCATTTCAAACATTTTTACATATATAATTCAGTAACATTAATTATATTCACTATGTGGTATGGCATTGTAGGATAAGCACTGGACTGCGAACCACAAGGTTGGCGGTTCAAACCCACCAACTGTACAGGGTCACTATGAGTTGGAATCGATTTGATGGCATTTGACAGCAACATATTGTTCATCTCTCACTATGGTCCCATTTCAAAAATTTTTTATCACTCTTAATAGAAATGCAGTACATCTTATGGAATTGACCCCCATTTCCACACCTGCACACACCTGCACCCTCCTTAACCATTAATAAATTTTGGTCTGTGTGTATTTATCATGGTGTGACACTGGAGGAAAAGTAGTGGACTACTAAACACACAGTTGGTGGTTCAAACCACAAGGTTGGTGGTTCAAACCCACCAGCCACTCCTCAGAAACTCTGTATGGGGTCACTATGAATTGGAACTGACTTGATGGCACTTAACAACAATAACAATGTATTTGTCTATTATATATCATTTCATAATATTGAGATCATACAATATTTGTCCCAACTGCAAGTTCAGTGGATTCAACCCACCAGTTGTTCTTGGAAACCCTATACAGAGTCACTATGAGTTGGAACTTGGCAGCATTTGACAACAACAAACAGCATGTCTGACTCAGCATACTATTTTCAAGGTCCATCTGTATTTAGCATGGATCCGAAATTTGTTTCTCTTTATGACTGAATAAGAAATGTGTATTTTTAATACCCATTATCTGTCAGTTTGTTGTACTGTGGTGGCTTGTATGTTGCTATGATGTTGAAAGCTATGTCACCAGTATTGCAAACACCAGCAGACTTACCCCTGGTAGACAGGTTTCAGCAGAAGTTCAGGCTAAAGCAGACTAGAAAGAAAGCCATGTCTGTCAACTTCTGAAAATTAGCCGGTGAAAATCTTAAGGGTCACAACAGATCTAGTACTGGAAGATGAGCCCAGTGGCCTCAACAGTGGACTCAAGCACACCCCTCTCCAGTAGTCATGAAGATGACACAGGACTGGCAGCGTTCTCTAATACATGGGGTTACCATGAGATGGCACCTGTTCAATGGCAACGAACAATATCAGTAACTTTTAATATGTGTTGATTCTAATCCTAATGCTTACTCTCCATAACACTATGACTTATTTTAGGGCGACAAGTAAGCAGTGAATGCCAGGGGGAGATGTTGGATTACCGACGCATGTTGATGGAAGACTTTTCTCTGAGTCCTGAGATCATCTTGAGCTGTCGGGGAGAAATTGAACACCACTGTTCTGGATTACATCGAAAAGGACGAACCCTACACTGTCTCATGAAAGTAGTTCGAGGCGAGAAGGGAGACCTTGGAATGAACTGCCAACAGGCGGTAAGAAGAGATCTTTCTACTGTCATTCTTCTTCTTTTTTTTTTTTTAACTTTTAGCATGAATTCAATGAAGATCATCAGTCCCATATCCAAGAAATCATACACTTTGTGTCATTATAATAATTTCAACCCCTTCCATGGACCATCAGTATATGCCCTTTTTAATGTCATGTTTTCTCAGCTGGTATACTTCTTCTTGATACTGTATCACCTTGCTTTACGTAGCACAGTTTTGACATCACAGTGAACATAAGGTACTAAGAACCAGCCCAAGGGGCATTGTTGCTGCAGTTATTTCTTAGTAAGAATGTAGACTTTTCTGCATAGTAAAAGTTTGAAATCATAATAAAAAGAGCTATATACTTACATAGATAAAATACGTTGGTTGCTTGAGTTTTTAAAAACAGGGTAACATGCTAGATTTGATCTATTAAATTTAAAATTAAGGCAGACAGACTTTTGTAAATCAGGAAAGGTCCTCCACCGTAAGAGAGTTTGCCTGTCCTGATGGGTTTGATTTAGTTGAGACTGAGAGCTGACGTGAATTGAACTTTTCTAAGAGTGTGCTATTTCTGACATATAGCATAGCATGAATTCCTGGTCTGAAGGATCATGAGAGCATGTAGTTTCCAGAAATTATGCTATCCTTTTTTAAAGCACATACCCCTTCTTCCACATCCAAACTTTACACTCATTTATAGAAAGAAATTCTGGGAAGTAAATATATTCTTCATGGGAAATTAAATTACTCTTGATCCATAGTTTTATAAACAGTTGAATAACTGCAAATCTGACCCACAATATGAAGGTCTGAAGATATTAAAAAGTTTCACTACCATTGTCTATTTTTATTACCTTTTACTGGATAAGAGTTTTTGAGCAATTCAAAATACCAAATGTAGCAGTAGTTGTTATTGTTAAGTACCATCAATTTGGCTCCAACTCATCGGGACCATATATAGGGTTTCCAGGGGCAGCTGGTGGGTTTGAACTGCCTACCTTGTAGTCCACAGTCCATTGCTAATCCTAAACTGGAAAGGCTCTCTCACCAGTGAAATTTTAGAAAACTCTAATTGGTCATTTATATACCACATACTTGTATATGTACACAAAAATGGTGGGGAAAATAGACAAAATGTAGCCTTTTCTCCAAGTTACCAAGCCAGATTAGAAGGAGGCCTCCTGGGATCTACTGTGGTTTGAATTTGGCACGTATATGAGTCGGAATCATCTCGATGGCACACAAAAGGAGCTCCTAAAGAGCAGCTGTTGCTGGTGACTTCCCTCGTAAGCTATGTGCTCAGACGTGTACCTGGGCCACAGCACTGGACTATGTCATGAGACATCCTATATTTGCATTTCATTCTTAATTTAGTACGAAAAGGAGAGTCTGTAGTTCTTTTTTGTACTAAAATATACAGAAAGAAAAACATAATGATAATATACAGATTTTACTTTATTTTGAGGCATCTAGTAAACTATGGGGTAGCGTGGTAGCTCTGTAGGATAAGCACTGGATTGGGAACCACAAGTTTGACAGTTTGATCTACCAGCTGCGCCACTGGAGAAAGAAGAGGCTTTTTGCTCCCACAAAGATTTATGGCCTCAGAAATGCTGTACAGGGTCATTATGTGTTAACCAATTCGACTGCACTTAACGACAACAACAGTTAACTATGGGATGGAATCATGGTGGGCGCTGGGGATAAGCACTAGAATGTTGACTGTAAGGTCAGTGGTTTAAACCCACCCGCCATTCCTTGGAAGCCCTGGAGAGGGTCACTATGAGTCGTCCGGACTGACTCTGTATCACTTAACAATTACAATAAGTAAACTGTGATTCAGAATCCACTTGAAGGTAATGGGTTTACCGAGGGATTTTAAAGTTCAGATTCTTAAAAGAGCTAGTGATTCACCTTGAAAGATAAATAAGTACCACCCACTTCACCTTTCTTGTCCAGAAGTACTTGTCAAACCTAGAAGGGTTTGCCCACATTTGGTTTAAACACATGAAAAGAAGCACTTTATTTTCATATTTATGGACCTATGGCTTTTAGCCTTTGCTCACAAAAATTGAAAAATCCCAAAAAGAAACATTTTTTTTCCTTACTCTTCTATATTATCCATCATCAGTCAAGTAAAGGAATGTTTTGAAATCATTTCTTTTGAGCAAGTTTTTTCCTGTTTTTTGTTTTGTTTTGTTTGTTTGTTTTCTTCCATAATATAGTAGACGTCAGTACTTGCAGTTGACCATTAATTTTCCTTGGTCTCTGTCTGGTGATGTTTTAAATAATAAATTGTGAAGCATAGGATAATTATTATCTTAATGAGTACAAGTTCTTCCAAATACACTATCATCTTGAATACTTATTAAATCTTTGTCAGTTATGACTGGATGACTCTGGGCCCAAACTCACATTTTCCCAGATTGTCCTTAAACTTAGCAGGGGCTGGAGTGGATGGATAATAACATAGCCATTTTTTATAGTTTTTATTGTGAATTATGTGATAGTTTACATGGGAGAACATTAGCTTTACATTCTTTCTATTGTATGTAGTTTCATTGATATAATTACAAGCCCCTCCATGCATCATCAAACAACCAAAGGATATACCCCACAAGCCTGTCCCCTGATCATCAGCACACAGCCCCTCTCCCTCTTTGGGTCTAGAGTCCCCAACCGCTCCATCTCTCCACGTCATCGTCTCTGCCAACATCTCTGGCATCACTGCTTCTCTGGGTAGTGTCCCACACTCCACTCTTCTCCCTTGATGGTTCCAGGGACCTCTGCTCCTGGACTGCAAAGTCAACCACTCCCTCCTTTTGCTACAAAATGTCTGTCTTTACATTTCCAACCCTCACTGTCAGTCCTGATAGCAATTATACACTATTGTACCACAAGTGTCTTATCTCTATCTCCCTTCATCAGCCCCATCCAGATAGATTAGATTCTATTCAGTGGAGATTCTACCTTCCTCCGTGCCCTCTGGGTCTAGGCTCCCTCTTGAAAGCCTGTAAGCCAGTTACTTTTTGCCTTGTAACCCCTCCATTTTGGGTAGCCAATGTCCAAGTTACCCATCCCTGTCTATTCTGTGTACCGAGGGAGTGGGAATGATCTTGCTGTAAAGATTTTGTTCCCTCTTTTGAGGTACTACATCCATAGATGTAGGTCAAGTTCATCAAATTATATCAGATTACTCTTTTCCCTCTTCTTTCTTCTTCGTGAGCTCTGATCATCCAGCCATTGAAGCCAGGTCAAGTGGATATATATATGCCCTCACTTCTTATCATCTGGACGTTTTACTCTCCACTCTAGTCCTTTGTGGCTATGTCACTGTCTCTGGGCCTAGGAGTCCCCAGGTCTTGCCATACTGCTGGCCAACCAGGTCTCTACCCAAATTCACAGGAGTCTTTTGAATGTGGTTGGACTTAGCTCACAACTTCATTGCTGTTTTTCCCTCACTTCCCCTTATTGGTGATCAGCATGGTCATCAGTCAGACCGCATGCCTGCTCGTGTATTCCCTTTGAGTCTTAGTCTTGGAAGGGGATTTGCCCTGAGGGGACTCGACCACTTGCCTTGATGTCTCCTGGGTGAACAACTTGTTTGTTCTTGTAGTAGTCAGCCAGACTACCATTATTGTTTTTAATTTTCCTGTCAGTCTTTCTTTCAAGAAGGATCTTCTGTTCATCTAGCTGCTCCTAGCTGATCTGCTTGTCCTTTCAAGTAGAGATTTCCCACCTCAGAAGATTTTGGATGGGTTCAGGATACCACCTATGGTCTTATGCCATGCAAAGGCTCCTCAGGAAGCCTTCTTCACTGGGCATGTTGTAGCCCCATTTTAGGTATTCCAATCAGTTATAGGCAGAAGACGGACTTACAAGCTTTCTGTGGTGATGTTTCTAGCTATATCACATAGACATTTATGTTACTAGTGTTTATTTCCCAAACTGCCCTCACTAAATTTCAGAGTCATGTAATCCTTTGAGCCCGTAGCCTGTAGTACATTTGTTTTCTCCTTTTAATAGCTACAGTCTTCTATGATGCTTTCATTGTATATTGCCAAAGTTTGTCTGTCACTCAAAGTGTGTTTAATTCATAAAGTTCTTGCAAAACTCCCAAGCTCCCATGTTGCTTATAACTTCCTTCAGAAAAGGATATAAACTTTATCAACAGGGGTAATCTTCCTACCAACTAACCACCGTGTTGTGCAGTTTCTTTAAGTTATTACCCAAATCAGTGTAGCTTCCATCCCAGAATAGTGGAAATGTTGTGTATTTCTCTCTTAGTGATTACCATATCTTTACAGAGAGAAAATTGTTGGCTTTTTTTCCTCCTTATTTCCTTTCTGTCTATATTCTCCAGTAATTACATGATGGGATCAGTGCCTCCCTCTGAGCACATTTGATCCCCTACGTGGGAAGGCCAGAGAAGACTCCTGGCAGAGGCAGAGAAAGTGACACAGGAACTTGGGGGGAAAAGAGCTTGAGGCCCATAGGGAATCTGGTTTTCAAATTTTTTGTCTCTTATTTCAGATTCCCGCCCCCTAAACCCTGTATGTATTAATAATGAGCTTTTACCTCTGTAAAATGCTTTATAACTTTCTCTTATATAGTATTATTTCCTATAATCTTTTGCAGTGAAAGGAAACATATTAAAGGTTAGTCAACTTTCCCATGTTCTCAAAGCTAACATCTGGAAGATCCAGAACTATCCATAGGACTCAGGTCTTCTGATTATTCCCACCTGCTTCTGAAAGACAGGAAAGAGAATCTGAGGCTCTATTCTGGTGCCATGGCAAGCATTAGATCAAGCAAAGTATTGATTTCTCTTTTTTTGTAATTAATACCAGTGTCTTTGCAGCAAAATTCAAATTGTAGATTCTTATAACCAAATTGAGTCTCTGACTGGGATTGTCTTCTCTGTACTCTCCTCCACTTAATTCTGGCTTGACTTTAAGTGTCAGGTTCGGTAATCTGATAAGAAGGTAAGTAGCTATAAGGTTAGAAGCAACTTTCAAATTGTAAAGGTCTTTTGTTTCTCAAATGTCTAGGGGTGGTTTAAAACTGCTAGGCTAGCAATCCTTAACCCATTGCAGTAGAGTCAGTTCCAACTCAATAGTGATGGCTTAACCAGAAAAATTCACGGTCAAGGTTAGAGAACTCAGTTGAAAGGTATTTAACTGTAAACTTGGACATCCACAACTGTAGTACCTTGTTAGAGTGCACTATGATAAACCAGACTCAATAGCTGATTGGTCGAGAGGTGATACTCCTCTACCCTGATACTCACCTGACTTTCTTCCTTCTTACATTTTTAAAATCCAGCTTCAAACGCTGATTCAGGAAACTGACCCTGGTGCTGATTATCGCATTGATAGGGCTCTGAACGAAGCCTGTGAATCTGTAATACAGACGGCCTGCAAACATATTCGATCTGGAGACCCAATGTAAGTTGTCTCTTTTCTGGTATGATGAGTCCATATCGTATCGTATTTGGCAGCACAGTCCAGGGCACATTTTTGGGTGATTTAACATCTTAATAGAAATTGTGTTAAACAGGAACACATACCAACTTTCATGACTAGTATTGAAACTTTGCCTCTGCCTCATTCATCGTGTAGCTACCTAAACCCAACATTATGATGGTGTTTGTTGGCAGTGATTGCACATATACAGATCTATACATTAGGTCAGAGTTCTGGTGTGGTGCTGTGGGGTAAAGAATTGGACCGTAAGGTCGGTTTGAACCACAAGGTTGGCAGGTTCAAATTCACCAGTCACTCCTTGGAAACCCTATGTAGGGTTGCTATGAGTCGGAACGTACTCCCTAGCAGTTAACAACAACAACAACATACAGTAGGTAACTTCATGGTCAAATAAAAATGGAAGAAACACTCAGGATAAAGTAACACATGCTTTACCTCTAAAGGTTTCATCTTTTTTGTTCATTGACTCATTGCATACACATTAGAAAGTGGTTCATTATTGTTGAAACAGAAAGCAAAATATGATGGTTGGAGGGTGGCAGTGACTCCAATATGAAGACTAAGGTTGCATCCAAGATCTAGGAAAGCTGTATAAGTGCTCAAATAAAGTGTTGGATTCTAGTCATTCACTTTCCTTCACATAATGTAAAACAGCTCTTTGTAGTCCAAAGCTACCAGACACAACAGTGAAACAATGCGTGATGTTTATCATCATTCTGCCTTGCACAAGCTCCTGCTGTCCAGGCTCTGGTAGGGGATTTACAGTAGGATGCTTTCTTGCAGCTTTGTGAGTCTGAGAAGACAGACAAACACACTTAAGACTAATTAAGAATACTTATAAAAATAAAAACTACTGCATCAACAAAAAGGGACAGAGGAGAGGGAAAGAGAAAGAATTGGTTCAGGTTAAAAAGAGATTTAAGAGACATGTTAGTCACATGTAATGTGTGGACTTTTTCTGGGTCCCTGTTCAAACATACATGTGAAAAAACATGAAATGATTGGAAATTTGGAAAACTAGTAAGTTATTACATGATATTAAGAAAATTTTATTAGTGTCTTTCACTGTGATAATATGTTCTATTTTAGAGAAATATACTCAAATTATTTACAAATGATATGCTCTCTGGGATTTTCTTCAAAATATCCAACAAGGACTTATAGATTAAAAGAAAATTGACCACTGCTTGATAAAAGCTGGGGGAGGGAAAGTTATGATCTGATTCTCTGTTAAATTTTCATAATTCAAATTTAAGCAGCTGTGCACAGATCTCTTGCAAGCTGAGTCTGTAGTGTACTGGGTGGTTCTGAAGTTGACATAAAGCATAATCGCTGTCAGTTCAAGTCATTTGAGAGATCTTAAAAAAAAAAAAAAAAAAATCCCTGATTACCCTAGCAAAGTAGCTAAATAGCTTTTTCTGTAGACCATAGAAATACTGATATGGTGAGAGTTGTGGCATCAGAACTCATTTCTTTTATTATAATTGCCTTCATTCCATCACCAGGATCCTCTCGTGCCTGATGGAACATTTATACACAGAGAAGATGGTGGAAGACTGTGAACACCGTCTCTTAGAGCTGCAGTATTTCATCTCCCGAGATTGGAAGTGAGTATGTTGAAGTTCAAGTGAATAAAATTGCCTCAGTCTACTCTTCTTCCCGGGTCAGTATCATCTGTATATTTTAAAATAATCAGTAATAAATTATTTTTGTTAGTTTCTGGGATGACTAATATACTTTGATTGGAATATGAAAAACCCATTCTTCAACTGTTTGCAGAGCAGTGTCAAAAGCAGAGTCAGCCCACTGCCAGTCTATTACCAAGCATCCCTCTTCATCAGTATGTTAGAAGTCAGGGTCACAATTCTGATACCACAAGCATCTATCCAGAAAGAACTCTGGCACCTGTAGGAACAGAAAAAACATCTGCTTTTTTCAAATATGTCTTTAAGAACATCATCGTGCATGTTTATGTTTATTGATTTGCTCTAGGTATGGGGTTTTGCTATATTTTTTTAACCTTTCAAAGTTACTAGATTTATTCTGTCTTAAAAGGTTCTTAGCAATAAATGACAAGTTGATTCTCTTAATTCCCTTGTCATCCTGCTAACAAACAGTGTGGAGGGTGGGGGGACTTGGGGCAGGATTTTTATTACCTTGTATAATTTATTGACCACCACTTCCTTACTTTTTCCTAGTCTGCTTTCCCTTCTTCCTACAGCGAAGCAGCCAGTAATGAACCAGACTGTTCTTCCTGCCTCCCAAGTTCAGTTGTTCTCTGATTCAGTTGTATAAACCAGTGTGCTTAGGTATTAACTGTTCCTGGTGGTTAATATATGAGGGAACTTCAAAATTTTATGGGGAAATCCATTATCTTTTCATTCCACAGACATTTTGGAGCCCCTTCATGTTTTCCACCCATTCTTTACTGTAAGATTTCCCTGTGTTTACATAAGATTCCCTGTGTTCTCTTTTCTTTTCCCTGAAATAAGCTTGAAAAGGACTTTAGAAAGCTGAGTTGGAAGTTCCCTGTGCTTAATCAAGCCATCGAAAGCAAACTGATAGAGTTTACTGTGTAAATGCCTTTGTCAAAATTATGGGTATTTTCCTCTTTTAAAGGGGAAAAAATTATTTTTATTAAAAAAAGGTCTTCATACCCTTAAAAGCTACTTATTGAATACTAACCTCTACTCCTCTTATATATCGCTCCCCCAAAATTGGCAGCATAATGTGGGCAGAATTGAGCAGCCTTGGTCTAATTTGGAGAAGTCACAGTCTAATCCTTTGTCCCCAGATTCAGTGTTAAATGTCAATTTTTAAAAAATTAATAAACATTTAAAAAATACCAAACTCACAGTCATTGAGTTTCCAAGGCTGTAAATCTTTACTGGAGCAGAAAAGCTTCATCTTTCTCCCACAGAGCAGCTGTTGGGTTTGAGCTGCTGACCGTGTGATTAGCAGTCCAGTGCTTATCCTATAGCACCACTAGGACTCCTGATAAACATATTCAGATAACTTAAAAGTTCAATTGCTTAAAATTTTGTAAGACCTCACCTTGCATGGAGTGAAAAGAGGAACCATTTTACTGGAGAGGAAAGTTCAGTGGGAGATTCTGTTTATCTTGAGATTTCTATAGATTCTAGTATATTGGGTAGGATTGAACTTCATTCATGCTTAACAAAAATTATTTACTGTATAAAAAGTTATGAATTGCCTATTGGTAGCTACAACTCTAGTTTCTTAATTTCAACTAAGGCATGATTGGGCTGAGTCTAGTAATGTTAGATATTTGAAAAATAACATCTTGAGGAGGTAGGACTTAAATCTTCTGCATTAAGTTTAAACTTTTCCTTCTGTTGTAGGTTTTAAACTTTTTTATAAAGATTTACCACTGTATGTTCATTAAGAACAGAATTCAGGACTACTTTTACATTGATTTGCTACCTTCACTGCCCGGCAGATAGTTCTCTATGAGTACACATTGTAAAAACCTTAGCACATCTTAGAAGGAAAATTATAGTAAATATTGGGTATCTTTAATCCTTGACTTAATAGACTGGACCCTGTCTTATACCGCAAGTGCCAGGGAGATGCTTCTCGTCTTTGCCACACCCATGGTTGGAATGAGACCAATGAACTCATGATGACGCCCGGAGCTGTGTTCTCTTGCTTATATAGACACGCCTACCGCACTGAGGAACAGGGAAGAAGGGTATGCAGCCCATAGTGGTTTATGTCTTCTCATCATCGTGGATTTAAAAAAAATTATTTATTCTATAATATTCTGATTTCTGTCATCCTAGGAAACCTTTTTAATATATCTGGTGGGGAGGGGAGTACTGTACTGCTAGAAATGTCTTATATCCAATTTTGCTTTTAAGAAAGTGAGTGGGGCTAAGGGGTGTTTCATCTTTGGGGGAGGTTTCATTGGTTCATCCATTTGAATGTTTCTGTTGTGAAGGGTCTGCCATTAATACCAGATAAGACTCATCCTGATCCCTTCACTCAAGCTCATCACCTGAGCATCTCATTGCAGAGAATAATACAAGATGTATTGTCACCATTTTTTCTGGGGATTGGATTATTCATTTGACTTCTGGAACTTCATATGATGACTTTCACCTCTGCTCATAGATTTTTGTCCCTTGGAATGATAATGATTATTTCTGGCATTCCTTTAGTTGTCCATAGTGGACCTTGTATGAACCAGCAAAACTCAGGAATCCCACCAGTATCTGATGAAAAGAATCACCAAGGCTTAGAACTACCCAGAGACACAGAAATACTTAGAATAGATTATTAAAGGTGGAGGTAGCGAGAGCCAGTACCTATGATCATATTTTAAATCTGGGTATCTGTGGGCCTTTGGGCTTTTTTTACCCTTTGGATATTGTTTTAAGTAGAAATAAACTTTGTTTTTAAAAAAGAAAAAGCGAATAGGAGAAGATTCCCAGTTTTTCTCCTTAAATTACAAAATCTGAATCACAAATAGACTGTTAATAATAACTGCTGCTCTAATATTATTTAGCTTTAAAGATCCATTAGAAGCTTTTTGGCAGGATACAAATGGTTCTTTAGTGTTCTGCCCCTGCCAGCGGAAAGCCTTGTCTATGTATTGAAGAGGTGTTTCTGATAGTGCTCTAGTTGGAGCACAAGCCACCATACCTCAGTCTCTTGATAATTGTTTGCTCTGATCACTACATGTTTTGGAATTTGGTATGTGCTTGGCTCTCAGGCAACATTTGCTGCCTTCTGGGCTACATGGATGTTCCCTCTTTAGAATAGCCTTTTTAAGGCTTCTGAGACACTTTATTGCATTTCAATTCTGCCTTTGTTGCAGAAAGTAGAGACAAAATTATTTCATATTCATGTTTACAAATACCCCTTCTGAGCTTAATCCAAAATTTGATTGTTTAGAATTGTAAATCAAGAGACCCAAATGGAAAGAAATGCCATACTTCAGCTCCTGTCATGTTGTTGACTCAGTTTTTTGGTTTTTTTTTTTTTTTTACTATTCCGTAGGAGAATACGGGAATTTGTAGTTCATCATTTCTTCATAGAATGAGCCTATCATTAATAAGCCAAACAAACAGACAAAAAAAAAAAAAAAAACCCACAACTGTCTAATTGATCCCAATTCTTAGAAACCCAATAGTACGGGATAGAACTCTGCCCCACAGGCTGTCATCTCTACAGAAGCAGCCTGCCACATTTTTCTCCCATAGAGCAGCTGGTGGGTTCACACTGCCAGTCTTTGAGTTAGTCATCAAATGCTAAAACACAGTGCCACCGGAACTCATTTCATTAACTACTCAAAAACCCATTGCCTTCAAGTCAGTTCTAGTTCACAGCGGCCTTATATAGGGCTTCAGAGGCAATAAATATTATGGGAGCAGAAAGCCTCTGTCTCCACAGAGCGGCTGGTGGGTTAGAATGGCTGAATCCCAGTGCTAGTGCTACCAGGAATTCATTAACCACAGGGACGCCTAAATCCTGGGAGCTGGCCCCTCACTACAGTGGAGTCCCCTTTTGTGGTACAAGGCCAGAAAGAATGAGCAGAATGTTCATGTGGAAGACAGAATTTGTCAAAACAGCTTTCTCCCAGCCCATTCAAAAATATTACTTTCTACTCTCTCCACCTTCTGCTAAATCTATATGTAAACCTAAAAGAGTCTGATCCTGACCCGTATTAACTGTTGCTTTTGCTGTATTCGGTTTGTTCTTTCTGAGTTTAGTTAAATTGAACTTTACATGTGAAAGTGGCTAATTACTTTTATTAAACAAGTAAAAACCACCCTGTAGCAAACCTACTCTGAACAAATCCAGTTGACTTTTATCTGGACACTCCAAATAAGATGTAGTTTCTCATTGCATATTAGAAAATGCTCAGTGTAAATTGCATTCCTTGCATTCCTAGAGTTAGGGGCTTTTCAGAATCCTCCATTTTAGGAGTAAATTTTTACAGACTTGAGGTATGAAAATACTAGTTACCAACTATGGAGTTAGTAGTTTTGGTCTTTCCAGTGTGGTTTCAGTTTTGATTTTCCCCTTTGAAGGTATTTTACTTGTTCTTTCTCATGTAGCTTTCACGAGAGTGCCGAGCTGAAGTCCAAAGGATCCTGCACCAACGTGCTATGGATGTGAAGCTGGACCCTGCTCTCCAGGATAAGTGCCTGATTGACCTGGGAAAGTGGTGTAGTGAAAAAACAGAAACTGGCCAGGTGGGATATCTGAGCTGTGTGCCTAATGATGGATGTTTATGTAGAGGGCGCATGCTCTGAAATCCATCTCTGTGTTTACTTCATAACAAACAACTAAACAAATCTCATTGGTATCAAGTTGATTCCGACTCATAGCGACCTTGTATAGGATTTCCGAGAACATAAATCTTTACAGAAGCAGACAGCCTCATCTTTCTCCATCAGAGCGGCTGGTGGGTTTGAACCATTGGTTATGGTTAGCAGCCCAATGCCTAACCCACAGTGCCACCTAGGCTCCTTTATAGGAGTAATTTAGTAGCATTGTTCAATAGTTTTTAAAAAAATTTTTAGGAAACAATTCTGGTCTTTCAGGAATAGTTGTGCTTTTCCTAAGCAGTTTGTTTATATTGTAGTTTACTGTATGTTATAATTAACTGTATTCTCCTGTCTGTGTATGTCTTAGACTTAAGCCATTTTGTGAACTAGTGTTCCATCCCATTTTCTTTAACCTCTTTTCCTTTCCTTTCCTCCTTACTTGTGTGTAGTTCATTCTACATCATGTTTTTGTTTTCTTTTCTCCTTATCTTATTTTTATAAGCTACATTAAATTCTTTTGTGATAAGACAGATATAAATATGTACAAATATGAGGCTTTCTGCTTCAGCAAAGAGTTGCAGCCTTAAAAACCCTCTACAGGGTCTCTGTGAGCTGCTGCTGAAATTTTTTTGTTTGTTATGACAGCACTTAACAACAACAACCTCAGAGTAGTCCTATGAGGTATGTAGGAATTGAATTGTTTTCCACTTAGTAATTGACAAAATAGAGTCTCAGAAGAACTGTATTGACTGTGTTCTTTCTACTATAGAATAACTTCTCCAAAGCAGAAATGGAGGGAGGTGGAGCAGCCAAGAATTATGTGCATGTTGTGGATAGTGCTTTGGGATTTTGTACCTAGTTTAAAAAGAAAAGTTCATTCTAGCAAATTAACTGGAATAATAGTATGTCGTATGTGTTCCACCTTAAGGCAGGAAACCAAGCAGTGAGGACTAGCTATATATTTAAAGCCCCATTAGTGCTAGAACTCAGGGTGAATTCGAGTTCCCAAAATCTGTCCGAACCACTACAAAGCACTAAAAAGAAAGTGCTAAAAAGTGACAGGTAAGCTCCCACTGAAAAGTTTTCATCTAGTCTAAACAGGTCTGGTGAAAGGAGATGGGGATAAGATTCTTATGAATCAGTAGTGAGTAATTATTATCATGACTAATTGTGATTGTCATTACTGTAAAGGTAGAAGTTGTATAGCAAAAAGGGGGGAGTAGTTAATCTTAACAGTCCAGGAACAGAGGACCCTAGAACCATCAAGGGAGAAGAATGGAATGTGGGATCCTATGCAGAGAAGCAACAACATGGAGAGATAGAGCAGCTGAGGACTGCAGACTCATGGAATGAGAAAGGCTGTGTGTTGGCAGGCAAGAGGCAGGCTTCCAGAATATGCCCTTTGGTTGTTTAAATGATTATATATTCCTGAGTGTTTCTGTGTACATTAAAAAACAAAACAGAACAGAGGAAATGGAAGCAAATACTGTTGAATGTTGATGCATGGAAGGGATTATAATAATTGCAATGAAACTAAATACGATAGGATGAGTGTAAAACCGATGTTCTCCATGTAAATTATCACTATGCACAATAAAAACTTAAAAAAAAAAAAAAAGGTCACAGGTACAGAAATTGACCATTTCTTAAAAGCACTATGGTTGCCTAGTAAGGAGCTCTGGTAGCATAGTGGTTATGAGTCAGGCTGCTAACCCCAAGGTCAGCAGTTCGAAACTACCAGCTGTTCCACAGGAGAAAGATGAGGCTTTCTGCTCCCGTAAAGATTTATAGCCTCAGAAACACTATGCAGGGTTGCTATGAGTCGGAACCAACTCCACGGCACACCACCACCACCACCATGGTTGCCTAAGAGTCCAGCTATGGTGCTGTGGGTTAATGTGCCTCACCGCAAAGTTGGTTTGAACTGCTCCTCGGAAACCCCATACAGGGTCGCTATGGGTCAGAACCAACTCAACGGCACTTAACAAAATGGCTGCCTAATCAGGTCTGTTGGACATGGAAACGCCACTTCAGCAGTCTATTTCCTGAGCTTACTACAGCTTTGTCAGGTTTATTATTTGAAAATGCTGATTGTTTAGCTTTATGCCGCCTCTCACCAGTGAAGCACAGGATGTGGCTGTGCGAGATCCCAGAAAGCCGTTTCCTTTCCTGCCCACGGTCAAGTTTAGAAAGCTGCACTACATTGCAGCCCGTCGCTGAGGAACTAGATTTAAGAAAAGGTTCCATAAATAGGATTTTTTTCCTTAGCCATTTATTTTATTCCCAAGGTTTGGTACATTTATTCTAGGGCTACCCACACACACACACACCCTTTCTGGTTGATGTGTAATTTCTACAGCCCTTCTCCTCCTTTCCTGTTCTAATTCTTTAACAGAGAGATTCTTGCAGAAGAATCATTAAGTTCAGTTGATCCTTCACAGAGCACTTGGCTGAGCAGATGGCTGTTGAAATGCTTTGGAAAAGTGAGCTCCTGTTATACTTAAAATCTAAAAGAAACAATAATAAATCAATACTGTAAAGTCACTCATAGGAAACTTGAGTCTCCACAGCCAAGATCAGATAGTTTTTAGATAGCCAAACTCTGGGGTGATCACTTGTTTTGGAATTTTCCTCACAGGGTCCTTTGGTGTAGACTAGGATTAGAATTTTAGATTTGACTTGTAGGAGCCACGAGCTCTATGCTGTGTTCCAGACTCAGGGTCCTGGCTTCCTTTGTCTCAGTGGTTTTAAAGAATCAATTTCTTTCACTGTGAATTTGTTGTCCAGTGCTCAATAAAGATGCAACTTTAAAATGGAAGGTAAAGATAATCAAACACAGATTAATAGTATGTTGTTGTTAATAAGTGTCCTTGTGTTGGTTCCAACTCATAGAGACTCAGTCTAGAGTTTCCAAAGAGTGGCTGGTAGGTTTGAATCACCAAACTTGCAGTTAAGAATCCATTGATTACCCTACACCACCACACCAGAACTCCAACAGTGGTATGTTGTTGTTAAGTGCCGTTGAGTTAATTCCAACTCATAGCAACACTGTATAAGGTTTCTGAGGAGCATCTGGTAAGCTTGAACTGCTGGCCTTGAGGCACAAACCAACCTTGCGGTCCAGTGCATTAACCCACAGGGCCACACCAAGACTCCAACAGTGGTATGTCAAGTGCCATTTAGTCGGTTCTGACCCATTGCAACCCTGTGTAATGTTTCTGAGGAAACTGGTGAGCCTGAACCGTCAACGTTGTGGTTCAGACGACCTTGCAGTCCAATGCATTAAACCACAAAGCAGTGAAAAGAAAGGTCGGATAAGATTTTTGGACTCTACACCTAAAGTTCAACTCTTGGCCGTCTGGGTGGGTTTACATGACTATTGTTCTCTTTTAGCCCTCTTAACTCCCTGTTACACCAGGTAATGTCGAAATCAAATCAACCTTTGTGTTCTGTTCAATGAGGTATTTTTACTTCAAATGCAAAAAAATAACCACTCAAAAAGAAGTCGGCACTGGTGTCTCAGCTCCCCTTCATCACTAGTGTAACTCACACATGCCAAGGAATTGCCTTTTTCTTTGCAGGAGCTTGAGTGCCTCCAGGATCATCTCGATGACTTGGCTGTGGAGTGCAGAGATATAGTCGGCAACCTCACAGAGTTAGAGTCGGAGGTAAGCAGTTTGCAGCGCATAGAAAGTATGTGCCCTGTCAGCAGCCTTTCCTCTGTTGGCAATTGTACTGTTTCTAAACCCTTGAGGTGCCAGTTTTCTGTGCAACAAAAGCTATCTAGACAAGTATGGTGCTTCCTGAATCCCTTCCATTATTTCTCTAGAAAGACATTTTCTACATTAGCTCTTTGGTTTTCTTTATCCACTGCATTATCAGAGTGAGTAGATGTGCCTTTCTTACCCACTTCAGAGAAAATAGCAGTTATATTTCCCTGTAAGAAAAGGCAATAATACTTCTGATCTCTCACTGATGTTCAAGAATAGGCCAGGCATTCCCGTTCTCCAAACATTAGCTCTTTTAGATCATTTGGTAAGGTTTATATGCTTAACAAAAGTCTTGGACATCCATGGAAGGCAGAAGATTAAATGCATTTGTCTATGTTGATTCCATCTTGAAGCCCACTAAGCTATAAAAAATTAATTTTAAGTACTCATACATTTACAAGAATGGGAGAGAAGATAAGAGAAGACAACAAACTTTTGGAAAACTATAAAGCAGAAAAGCAGGCTAGTTGAAGAACTGATTATAAAGGAAACTGACCTCAAGCTCGCCTTATCTGTGCAGCTGCTCCCACCCTTGTCAGAAGAGCTTTCCTCTCTGAAGGGGTTCACAGAGAGGAATTCGGGATGATATACAGTTGGAGGCAGGGGAGATACTTTGACAATGTGAAATTTATGGAATGAACTCAGAATGATCAACAGTGTCGGTACATGAAATTACATTTGCAGTGTGTAACTCTGCAGGAAGACGTAGTTACATCAGCTTTCACTGCTTAAAGGCATGTCATATCTGTTCCCCAGAGACAGCATTTGACATCTGGTTCAAGGGAAGTGATCTGATTTATAAGCTGATAGACTAAAGATAGATATGAGTTACCCCTGGTTGCCATTTGAACTGCTTATCATTTTAGAAAAACTCCAAAGGCTTTACATATTCTGATATAACTGCTGAATGTTTTCATACCCTACCTTTACCTAATTCTGCCTTCTCTTTTGTTCATGCACAGGGAAATCTGCCTCTAGACATTTGCTTTTCAAACTATGATGGAGGACAATTCTGTCTATCTAAATTCTATAATGGTTTTCAAATATATGTGCTGGATTATTTACCCATCGGATGCCGCTGATTCAGAAAAAGCGACTGTCCCTTTCCTCACATACTTTTCCCTCTGACCATGACTTTCTAAAACAAAATTGTGAATATTTAATCTTTTACAGGATATTCAAATAGAAGCCTTGCTGATGAGAGCCTGTGAGCCCATAATTCAGAATTTCTGCCATGTAAGTGATATTTGGAAAAACAAAGGTTACAGACAAAACCAAATTCATTGGGACCCATCCCCAGTCTTTCGGACATGTCTCTCTGTCTTCAGTGTACACCACACTTGACCATTGACCAATTTTAACAAACTAAAGCTGAAGGGGAAAACAAGATGAAGAGAAAGGTGTGACCATCCTGGACCAACCATACTTGATTATCCTTTGTAGGTGGCCAGGTGTGTGGTTGGCTGCAGTTGTTGGGATATCCTTTATATGAAACAAGGAAGCACTCCTGTCACTTTAGCTGAGTTGCTTCTGATCCATCAGTCCAGAATTTTTTACCAGTAATTGTGGACTCCCCTTCCAATGATCTCCTGGCACCCCAATACTACATAGACTCTTAATTTCTTAGTTTACTCGCAAACTACCTAAATTGTGAGACACCCTGTGGACCATAGGATCTGACAGGAGGCTTTGTTAGATATCACCCTGAGCACCAGCTGTTGTCTTGTCTAAGGAAGGGAATTCAGGCACTGCAGAGTATATATTCTTATTGTTGGAGTCACATGCAGAGTAACCCACGATATCAATTTTATTCTACTTAGTGTTTATCCCAGGCTTATTTTAAAACAACTTATGATGTATCTTGTTTGCCAAGGCCTCTAGAATTAGTCCTGTTGGCACTGTCCATGGATTGGGGTCCAGGTTTTGTTCAATAACACTTAATGAGTAGAAATGTACACTACCTTCCTCAGGATGTGGCAGATAACCAGATCGACTCTGGAGACTTGATGGAGTGTCTGATACAAAACAAGCACCAGAAGGATATGAATGAGAAGTGTGCCATTGGAGTCACTCACTTCCAGCTGGTCAGTAACATCTGCCTACGGGTTTCCTGGGTTGGCTGCATGGATGGTTACTGAATATCTTCCCTTTCACAACATCACAGCACCTCTTCTGTGAAATGCCATTTTTCCAAACATATATCCTTCTGATTATGTTCTTAACAAAGTGACTTTTCTCTACTATGGCACTGCACTATTGTTACAGTTGTTAAGTGCCATTGAGTTGGTTCCAATTCATTGTGACCACCGTGCATAAGGTTTTTGAGAAGCAACTGGTGGGTTTGAACTGCCAACCTTGTGGTTTACAGTCCAGTGCTGATCCTACAGCGCCATACCAGTTAGGCTCCTAGAAATGCAGTGACAAATAAACCCTAATGTGTACCCTTAGGGAGCATACCATCCAGCAAGGACAGGGTCAGTAAAACAGATTTTTTCTCCTTTAGTCACATTTCTTGCTTTCATAAGTTTTGTTTTTGTTTTTATTTTTAACTTCTATGTTTTATTTATTTTGTTGCTGTTGTTGAGAATATACATAGCAAAACAAGACACCAATTCAGCCATTTTGACATGCACAGTTTTAGTGACATTGATTATATTCTTGGACTTGTGCAGCCGTTCTCACCATCTCTTTCTGAGTTGTTCCTCAACCATGAGCATGAGCTTACTACCCGCTAAGCTTCTGATCTAGTCTCCTGAGTTGCTGTTGTCAATTTGATCCCATAGAGAGAGTTCTGAATGATGAAGGCACACACTCTCCAGCTACTAAGGTCATTTACTATTTGGTTTTAATACGACTTCAGGGCACAGAGAACATCATGTGTGTGATTGGGACAGGCAGGAAGCAGGAGTGAGTAGAGAGGGCATCACCAGGAGATTAGAGGGTGATGATGTCAGAGAGAGGCCAAGGGCGGGTTGTGCAGGGTCCTTGGAAGACTGCATGCATCAGCTGTCACCCTCTGCTCCTGACTAGACCTTGCCACAGAGCTTCTGATTTCGTTTATCTTACAGGTGCAGATGAAGGATTTTCGGTTTTCTTACAAGTTTAAAATGGCCTGCAAGGAGGATGTGTTGAAACTTTGCCCCAACATAAAAAAGAAGTATGTAACTTCTAATGGATTGCCCTGCCTGCCCCCAAGTCTTAGTTACTGACTCAATCTCTTAGGTGTCAGACAACTTCCTGCTGTATAACAGGACAAGCTCTGGAGACTTCCTGCATGTCTCCTTTGTTCTTGTTGAGTGCCTTTGAGTTGGTTCCAACTCATAGTGACCCTGTAAAAGGCTTCCAAGAAGCAGCTGGTGAGTTTGAAATATTTCCCTTGTGGTTCAAACCGACCTTGCAGTTCAATGCTTATTCTACGGCGCTACACTGATGTCCTTGTAGTTGCCCAATACTTGTGGCTGTCTGATGGTAGTTCTTATATGGAGAGCCCACAGGCCAAAGAAACATTTTCAATCTCTCTGAGTTCAAGCTAGCTGATAGATTGTGTACTTAGAGAAGCAAGTTGCAGCGTGAGTGAGACTGATTAACTGACTTCCTACTGGCATCATTCCATTAAGTTATCTAGAGAAGAAATAAAATCATTATTAATTTAAGAATTAGGTCTTCATGAGGAGAGCAGTGAGCTTTTACAGCATGACTACCCACATTCTTCCATGATCCTTTTTGAAGTGACTCATTTCTAGACACATTTTCCGTCATATAAACTAAATTCCCATCTGTACCTTTCATGAAGGTGTTTCACAGTATGTCATAGAGATACTGTCCCACGTTAGGAGCAGCAGTCCTCTGTAGTCACACGTCTTGAACAAAGTAGGTGGTGATCTGTCCTTGCACACATGTCCACTCTGGCCTCCCCTCCTGTCATGAGTATAGTCAGCACCCAGGCTGCTGCCTGAGTTTCAGGACCCACACAATCAAATGATTGCTGCTTTTCACATTCTGAGTGAGAAGAATTGGGAAAGGCATTCGAAAACAGGGTCCGGTGGGTCCTGAATTCTGTCAAATGGTGTCAATCCTGCCCCACCCAGCCTCTCCCTTCACATATCTTTAGTTTGTCTCAAGCCTTCTCTTTTCCTTGACAGGGTGGACGTAGTGATCTGCTTGAGCACCACTGTGCGCAACGACACTCTGCAGGAGGCCAAGGAGCACAGGGTGTCCCTCAAGTGCCGCAAGCAGCTCCGTGTGGAGGAGCTGGAAATGGTAATGCTGCACAGCTTCCATCCTGAGAAACCACAGGCAGGGTCTGAGGAAGCTGCTGGGTGAGGGGCCAGGGCAAATTGGAAGACTTTAGCTGCTATTGAGGTGGTTAAGGCTTCTGCTAAAAATTTTAATTTATATAATTAGCTTCTTGCTTCACTTTTTTTTTTTTTAATAAAGTTAATGTCTTATAAAAAGGCACTTCAAAAAGTTTATGGGAATTTTCCATTATCTTTTCTTTCAATTTTTCCTTGATCTTTTTTAAGTTTCCTTATATAATTAGAAGTTCAGCTATGAAGCAAGTTGTGGTCCGCTAACTGTCCTTATGGATAGAGACCACTCTGTTGTCCCTGGTATCATCCTGAGGCTGGTTTCCTTCATGGTCACAAGATGATTTACCTATAACAATTGGGCTACTAGCTCCACTCTTCATATCCCTAGAGAAACAAGAGAAAGAAACATCCTCTAACCCTGAAATAAAGGTTCATTCTTTCCATTTAATTTGGATTTGTGTCCACTTACTGACCAGTAACAGTCTCCAGGGAATGCCATGCACTGGTTAGCTACTGGTCTTCCACGTGAAATGGATATTGGAAGGTAACCACAATATGCACAGTTGGAAGAAACTTGTTTAATTCTCAACAGTTGCATTATCAGAGAATTCTGTTTAAGTGGAACGGACCTAATTATTCTGTTATACGTGTTTTAAACTGGAAGCTTTGGGTCCCTAACTATATGCTCTGCTCTTTCTATAGAATAATAGAAATAGTAGAACCTTACATTTACAGAGTAGTTTTTAACTTTGTGAAGTGACTTCCCATACCTAGTATTTTCTTTCACATCAGTCCTGTGAAGGGATCAGGGTAAGTAATATCATTTCAATTTGCAAACAAGGTCCAAGTCCATGAAGCTATTTAGTGGCAAAACTGAAATGAAAACCTCATTCTCCCCAGTGGACCACTGTGCTGCCAGTTTGCTATCTAGAAGTTGCAGCCAGTCAACAAATAAATGTGTAGAACATTTAGCATCCCCAGCTTAAAATGAATTCACTTTTCCTTACTGGCTCCCTCATGTAGACAGAAGATATTCGTCTGGAACCAGATCTGTATGAAGCCTGCAAGAGTGACATCAAGAACTACTGTTCCGCTGTGCAGTATGGCAATGCTCAGGTAACTTTCTTGGTTTTGAATTGTAACAGTGATGTGAAGGTGACATTTGAATCATGAATTCCTCCCAGATGGACAGGTCCCAGCCAGTTGCATCGTGCCTGTCCAGCCTAATCATCCCCTCTCAAGCCAAGCCAGACTACTTTCCATTCGCCAACAAAGTTCCTTACCTGTCCTCCTCTTCTGTGTTTCTTACTCATTTCCTTCCCTGCTTCATGTCTGCCCAGTAAACTCCTGATCTTCCTTCAAATGCCACCACCTCTTTTTCCATTCTATTTACACAGTTTTTAACTAAAACACATAATAGCCTATAATAATACAATTTTTACTTTTATTTTTTGATGTATGGAACAAGGTTCTACCTACCCACAATCTCCAGGATTGAAGAGCAAGCCAATAATTTATTTTTTTTCTTGGTAACTTACTCCTAGTTAAGGGCACTGCCATGGTGCTGTAGCTCCTGAAATAATTCCTTGTCTTCTTGTCCCTAATATTGCTGCTACAAAGTCTGATGTCAATCTGATTCACATTTATTTGTACCTAATCTACAAAGAATCCTGTCATTTTACTTTGGTGTGATGAAGTCTAGGTTTTGTTTTCTTTATCCTGTCATACTTTTCAATTTCTGTATTTCTCCAGTTCTAGGGCCTTGTCAATCATCATTCATTCAGATATTTTCTTACTTTTACTTCTGTTTTGTATGTAACCTTTATTAGACAGCTGGATCATATGAACTAGTCCCCCTGTCTCTTAACTGTTGTTTCATGTTCCCATTTCTTTGTACTTCATTGAGGTTGTTACTTCTGTTTCCCAGACTGATAACTATTTATTTTCAGCTCGGCTTTTAAAAGAGACTACCAATTGAGTTTTTTATTTAAACAATTATCTTTCTTTAGTTTTAAAATTCCTATCATGACTAACTATTCTTCCCCCACCACCCAACCATCAGTGTGTAATGTTTTTATTTTTTAAGTTTTGATTGTGAATTGAGTGAAAGTTTACAAGGCAGTTTTACATTCAACAAATCATATACTTTGTTCCATTACAATGATTATAATCCCCTCCATGTACTATCAGTTAACAGTATTTCTCTATATTCATTTTAGCTTTTTTTTTTTAAACACTCAGACATATATAATAATTTAAAACCACCAAAAAGGGCATATTCTGCAAACCTGGCTCATGGCTTCCCACTCTCAGTCCCTCTCTTTCCATGAATCTAGAGTCCTCAGCTGCTCCATCTCTCCATGTCCCCATCTCTGCCTCCATCTCTGGTGTTGCTGCTTCTCTGGATACATCTCCACATTCTGCTTGTGATCTTCTCCCTTGATGGTCTTAGGGTCTTCCTTTTCTGGACTGTTATTAACTACTCCCCCATTTTTGTTACAAAACTTCTACCATTACAATTGTGATAGTTGCAATTCGTCATGATAATAATTACTATTGAATCATATCCTCATCTCTTTTTTGTTTTAATGTTTTATTTTTAATTATGTGATTGTTTACATGGGAGAACATTAGCTTTACATTCATCCTATCATATATTGTTTCATTGCCATGGTTACAGTCCGCTCCATGCATCATCAACCAACCCTGTAAGCCTGCCCCCCGGATGTCAGCACACAGCCCTTCTCCATTTCTGGGTCTAAAGTCCCCAGCCGCTCTGTCTCTACATGTCATCATCTCTGCCTCCATCTCTGGTGTCACTGCTTCTCTGGGTAGGGTCCTACTCTCCGCTCTTCTCCCTTGATGGTCCCAGGGACCTCCACTTCTAGACTGCAAAGTCAATCACTCCCCTCCTTTTGCTATAAAATGTCTACCTTTACATTTCCAACCCTCACAATCAGTCCTGATAACAATTATTCACTGTTGTATCACAAGAGACCTATCCGTATCTCCTTTCATCAACCCCGCCCAGACAGATTGTATACTACTCAGTTGAGATTCTACCTTCCTCTACGCCCTCTGGATCTAGGTTCCCTCTTGAAAGCTTGTAAGCCAGTCACTTCTTGCCTTTGTAACTCCCCATTTTGGGTAGCCAGTGTCCAAGGACCTCTACTCTGTATGGAACTGTAAAGATTTGTTCCCTCATTTGAGCTACTGCATCTGTAGGTGTAGGTCAAGTTCATTAAATTGTATCAGATTACTTTTTTTTTCCTCTTCTTTCTTTTTCTAGTTGAGTTCTGATCATCCAGTCATTGAAACCAGGTCAAGTGGGTATTAGCTGCAAGTGTGGGTTCCCCATCTCTCTCTCTCTCTTTTTTTTTTTTTTTAATGTTTTATTGTAAATTATATGATAGTTTACATGAGAGAACATTAGTTTTACATTCATCCCATCGTATATCATTTCATTGCCATGGTTCCAAGCCCCTCTATGGATCATCAACCCATTAGTTTTACATTCATCCCATCGTATATCATTTCATTGCCATGGTTCCAAGCCCCTCTATGGATCATCTTCCGACCATAGGGTATATCCTAGAAACCCGTCCTCTACCCTTCTCCCCACCACCCAGTCTTCGGCCCACACTCCCTCTCCCTTGTCATCATCTCTGTCTCCATCTCAGGCATCTCTGCTTCTCTGGGTAGGGTCCTGCTCTCGGCTCTTCTCCGTTGGTGGTCCCAGAGGCCTCCGCTCCTAGACTGGAGAAATAATCACTCACTCCCTTGCTACAAAACGTCTACCTTTGCATTTCCAACCCTCACAGTCCGTCTTGATAACCATTATTCACTACAGTATCGCAAGTAACCCATCTGTATTTCATTTCATCACCTCCACCTAGACAGATTGGATAGTACTCACTGGTGATTCTGCCTTCGTCCATGCCCCCTAGCTCTAGGTTCCCTCTTGAAAGCTTGTAAGCCAGTCACTTCTTGCCTTTGTATTCCCTCCCTCTCCATTTGGGTATCCAGTGTCCAAGTTGCCCATCTCTGCCTACTCTGTGTGTGGAGGGGGTGGGAATGTTTCTTGCTGTAAGGATTTGTTGCCTCTTTTGAGTCACTGCATTCATAGGTATAGGTCAAGTTCATCAGATTGAATCAGCTCAATCTTCCCCCCACCCCACCTTCTTTCTTCTCCTGGTTGAGCTCTGATTCCCCATTTCTATTTACCAGACCCATCTAGACAAGATGAACACTATTCAATGAGGACTCTACCTTCCCACACACACACTCTTAAACTAACTCCCTCTTTTTTTCTTTTTTTAAATTTTTATTGTAGATTGAGTGAAAGTTTACAGGACCAATCATCAGATTAACATTCAACAAATCATACATTTTGTTTTATCACAATGATTACATTCCCCTCCATGCACCATCAGTTAACAGTGTTTTTCTCTATTCACTTTAGCTCTTTTTTTTTTTTAAATATAATTCAGGCATATATAGTAATTTATACCACCAAAGGGCACATTCTGCAAGTCTGCCTCATGGCCACTATCTCTTTAGTCCCTTCTTCCCAGGAATCTAGAGTCCTCAGCTGCTCCCTCTCTCTATGTCCCCATCTCTGCTTCTATCTCTGGTGTCGCTGCTTCTCTGGATAAGGTCCAGATTCTGCTTATGCTCTTCTCCCTTGATGATCCTGCGGTCCTTTGTTTCTGGACTGTAAGATTAAGTGCTCCCCCATTTTTGTTACAAAACTCTGCCTTTACAATTGTGACTGTCACAATTAGTCATGATAACAATTACTGTTGAATCATAAGGATCTTATCCCCATCTCTTTTTATCAGACCCATCTAGACAAGATGAAAACTATTAGTGGGGACTCTATCTTCCCTCACATATTCTTAAACTAAACTCCCTCTTGAAACCTTGTAAGCCACTTACTTAGTGCCTTTATCGTCCCCTCATTTTAGGTAGCCAGTGTCCCTACCTACCCTGTGTACAGAGGGGATAACATTGATACTTGATGTGAAGACTCCGTCCCTCTCTGTTGGTATTTAGAGTTACTACATTCATGAGTATAGGTCAGGTTCATCAAATTGTAGCAATTTACCCTAATTTCCTTTATCAAAAATAGTTTTTTATTTATTTATTTTTTTTATCTTCCTTTAGTTGAGTTCTGATTATCAAGCCATCGAGGCTAGGTCAAATGGGTACTATCTGCAAGTTTGGGTGTTCTTGTGCATCCCCCCTCACTTCATATCAGCTAGAAGCTTCACTCTCACTTCTAGCCCTCCGTAGCTATGTCCTTGTCCATGGGCTCAAGTGTCCCCAGGTCTCACCACACTTTGGACCAACCAGCCCTTCTTCTTCTCTCTCTCATCTCCAGGACAATGGGAGTCTGTGGAATGTGGTTGAACTCTGCCCATTTCTTCATTGCTGCCTTTCCCCCTCTTCCACTCACCAGTAGACCAATGTGGTCACCAGCAAGCTTACATGCCTACTCATGTGTTCCTTTGAGTTTCAGTCTTAGAGGGGGGGTATGTCTACCTGCTCTTGTTTCTTGTTTACCATTTCATCCTGCAGTACTTAAAGGATATTAAATATGTATTTTTAGTTATCGTTTTTATTGCTCTGTTATCTCTTTCTTTTCCATTTTTTGTTTTCACCTTATTGTGTTTATTGTCTCTCTTATGGTATTAATGCTCCTTAACCACTGGGTGGTTTTTGTTGTTGCTTGTGATTTTCGTTCAAGTATCATGACTCCATACTACAGTCCTAGGTACTGCAGATTCCTAGCTGCTTTCTTTCTTCATCTTTTTAATAGTGTCTAACAGTTTGAAGCCCTGGTGTGGTGCTGTGGGATAAAGCACTGGACCGCAAGGTCAATTTGAACCACAAGGTTGGCGGTTCAGACTCACTAGCTGCTCTGTGGAAACCCTGCACAGGGTCTTTATGAGTCAGAACCCACACAACGTCACTTAACAACCAAAACAACAGCAGTTTGGTATAGAAAAGATTTCCGTATAGTGTTAATAACTCACAATCTTAAAATTTATCCCATGGCCCTTTATGCTTTTATGTTAATATATATATATATATATATATATAT